GGAAAACATTAAATGCGAAGCACATGATAGCTGGTGTTTCAAGGAAGTTTGGAAGCAGTTCTAGAACTGAGAACAAAGGTTCCTACCAGCAACTGTAGAAATGGTCCTGTCTAGTTCTGGATGTAAGATCCAATTTCAACTGAAAGGTAGTGGGATTATTACAAGAAAATATTACAAAATGTAAATGCGTAATTAACCACAACAAGAACACAATTTAAAAAAGACTCCAGCTATTAGAAACAGAGATAACAAAATGTGGCTTGCAGAAAACTAGGCAAAACCTAAACCTAACAGTAACTGCTGAAGGTGTAGGAGACCTGCCAGCCCTGGGATCAGTCAATATTTCGAGAGGAGAGGAGAAATATGGAATAACTAGAAACTCCCGTCCACAACACTACTAAATCAGACACCAAGAGCACGTGAAACATCCACCCAATAAAGAGAAAGAGCTTCCCTTCAACAGAGAATGTGAATTATAGGTTATGACATTTGCCGCTTTTTTGTGCTCTTCCTGCTCAAATCAGCACCAGAAACACATCTCAAAACGGGCAAACCAGACTACAGGCAGAGGCGATGAGAGGTGGAGGTGCGTCTGTACTCTGAGATTTCCTAGACTCCAGAACTGAGACCCAAAATAACAGAGTGGGAGTGGTCTTCCAGCACACATTTCCATGAACGAAAAGGCAGCCATCACATCTGGTTTGACAGCCGGGCACAAATCTAGTATGTCATGTGAGGTTAGTCTTGGGTCAGTGAACAAGCCAATTTAATACTGACAAACAGGACTTCAGACATTCTGTGCAATGCACAGAGCTTAGTGTCAGAGTCAACAAAATGTGTAAAGCATTCTGTGTTGACAGGTTCTGAATGTCTGAGAGTTGATGGGAAAATTAAAGACCTACAGTAGCTGATCTTTTTCAAATTCGGTATGCTACCCAGTGACTGTTTTGCTGTACAAATATTTTTGTCTTAATGATAGCAACAGGGTGACGCACATATCCATTAAAACTGGAAAAAGTCAATTTTTTGAACGCATGCTAGTCATCATTAAAATGTTGATGACTATGATTAAAATATGATTAAAATATCTCAAGACAGTAGAGGCTACATCATGTTTGCATCAGTGGTGTTAACCACTGCAGCACAGCTCAGACAGTACTGCTCAAAATACTTCAGAGCTTATTTAACTCCACACACAGTGGTGATCATCTAGGAGGTGATCAGAATGGCAAATTAATGCATGATAATGTTGAATTGGTGAATGTGTCTAAGATCATAAAAAAGTCATTCTGATTTGATTTTTTTTCTTTCTCAGCATCACTGCAGAATCAGTTAACACTTGACTGTAGACTTTTCCTGCACAGTGAGAGACAAGTAAATATTGAATATAACATTACGAAAGAAAATAAAAAAACTGGGTTGATTATTTTTTAGTTTTTTTAAAGATTTTTAAGTTTTGGAAACTAATTCATCAATCTTTTAGATAATTTACACACATGGCTGATTTATTTTCACATCTTACAAGGGTTGGTCTGATTTCTGAAAGGATTCATTTTGGAAACACACATGTAACATTTATTTTAACTGTGCTTTACAAAGCTAAAATAATAAGAGACGGAAGCTGACCAAGGAACCTGTGTGAATGGGATACTGCCATGTCCCAAGACCGGTTAAGGCTGGTTTTCCTGTTGCTATGGGCTACACTTCCTGAACGTAACCTCAACATCAAGGTGAACTGTGAGTAAATGAGATGGGGTCTCATTTGATTTAAAGGTGTGCCTGTGTCAGGCCATGCACAAGGCTGGTGAAACTCCCTATATTGTGGTGTTCCCTCAAATAAAGAAAAAACACAATACAAAAACTTTGAGTTTCACTCTTTGTAATCAGAAAAAAACAAATACTTTCTAGAACAGAGAAGCTCTGAGCATCTATTGAGAAAAAAAGAATGAAGACTTTGTGACTTTCCAAGCTTTGCCCTATAGCACAAAAATGACCACTTTCTGAAAATCTGCAAAGGTACTTGGTACAAACAACAGGAAAAAGTAAAACAGGATTTGTGTCTCATTAAACTAAAGTTTTATATACAGTAATTAATCTTTTAATAATTTATAATTAACAAAATTATTGGTGTCCAAAAAGAGCTGCATGTTTTTTACTACAGCAAAACAAAAACTTTAAACAGCAACATCTCAGATGGTAATTTTCAAGAAATTATGATTGGAAGAACACACTGAAGAAAAGGCTTAAGATCTGTTTTTATGTCAATATTTGAGAGAAGTGTGTGTTCAATATGGGTGAGTATAGGGAGTGTTTAGGAACGTGCAAGTTCAGAGTAGTTCGGGCTGGTTAGAATTGACTGCTTTCAAGACATGCCTGGTTACGCAAGGAGGCAGCCCTGCCTGAAGGCCTGCAGAGATCACAGAGTCCTGGTGTTCAGCATTCCCTGGGGGTGCTGCAGATCATGCCTGAAAAACTGCTCCTGTGCCACAAGAGCCAGGAAGTGAAGGCAATTTCCTCGCCTTCATTCTCACAGACAACAATGAAGCAGCTATTGCGGACAACACACCAATGAAAACTCATCAGGGACAGCCCTCTCCGGCAAACTGGAAAAGTGCCTGTACAACAGGCTTCTGTTCTCACTGCTGCATTTCTGTTTTTTACACAATTCCAACAGAAATAGAAAAATAGGAAATGCAGGCAAGTGTTTTCTTGATTTATTTTAAGAACTTTAGTTTCTGAAGCAGTTATTTGAGATACTCTACGAAGGGAAAAGGCAAAAACCTTTGTCATTCCCGAGAATGAATGAGACACACTGGTGAAAGGTTTATGGGAATTCCTATATCTCTTACCACAGTCTCTGGGTTCACAAACCCAGCTGCTCTAAAGGAGCACAAAACAGCTAAGATACATATCAAGTCAGAGGTCACTAAGTTCCTGACCTCATACACAGGTAATGAAGACAATGATCTTTTCACATTGCTTCATAAAGTTTCAAAAATGGACTGTTATATAATATTGGAAAGTGGACAAAAGCTCCAAGCTCTGACACTATTAATTCTGATGCCCAGTACAGACCCTACTGTTCTATCGTTGAGCACAGAACTTTGCTTTGATCATTTCATTACATATCTACAATATATAGTGTATGCTACTTGAGAATGCGATTAATGCCCTTTCTATGCTTAGCAAGTTATATATGATCAAACTAGACTCTTATCAAGATGTATACTGTGTTTAAAACTCTGGTTAATAATATCAGGGTTGAAGTAGCCTCAGAAGGATGGCAAATATCAAGGGCAAACAGAAGAGAAGCCAGTCAGGTGACTCTAGAAATGTATTTTCTGTGTTTCAAGACTGCATTCCACTGTTTAACTGCTGACTAAAGAAACGCCCAAAACAAAGCATCTGCACTGATCTCGGTGGATGTTTACAAGAGTGTTTCGATTGCCTCATGTCATTCACGCTAAGGTTGGTGATGCACATGAATTAATGTGAATTGGAAAGTGTTATGAATTGTTTAGTGTTATTATGTCACTTAACATAGAAACACTGCCTGCTGCACTAACACAGAACAATATTTTCTTTGAAAGAAGTAGTTTGCTTTTTTGGCATAAGAACACATAAGAAAAAATGCAGTTATCACACTATAAAAAGTAGTCTGCTCCTGTTTACAGGAAAAATCAATTTCTGAACTACCAAAAAGTGGACAAGCTTACTTCACAAACAATGAAACAAGGGCATCCCTTGTCCGTCTGTCTTAAGCAGTAACAGGGCTTAGAGAAAATGTCCCATGGACTAATAATACAGGCCAGTGGAGACACATTGATTTTCCAGCTTTTGGCTCTAGGGGAAAAACCTGCACCTCATTTTCACAAAGCATTCCAACAGGAGACATCACAGACGTACAAAATATAATGGTTTTCCTCATTAACATACTGTCAAAATTAAAAAATGGGGGTAGAAAATATGAGTATGATTTCTGCATTACAAATCAAAAACTTTGAATGTGTCAAACAAAAATACTGCACAAAACTAAAATAAATAAACATGCTTCACTATAATCAGTGATTCCTTACCTTTACTGCTGTGCTGCATCACACTTTATAGTGTACATCTCACCATAATAACACTGTCAACATATCTAAAAAAATACATTGTATGACGAAGGACAAACCTTTTATGCTAAATTTCCAAAGCACTCAAGTCACCATGAATCATAGCACAGGCATACCCACTGCTATGCATAAACTGTGATCTGGTCCAATATCTGGTCCAATACTGAACAGGCTGTCCAATACAACAGGCAGACATGAACAGACAGTCCTATTTTAAAGGGCAATTATACAGGTGAGCCCACAACCTGCAGCCCCTTCACGACGATGCTCTGTCAGTGACACAAAATAGTGAGATGTAGAAACACATTCTCTGCCAGAGAATGTTAGGTTAGGCTGTAAACCTAACCAGCAGTCTCTAAAACAGGCGCCAAGGTAGGATAAATAATTGTTTAGTGCCTTTCCAGATAAAGGGTTATACAATTAAGGATATTTACTATGGGTATTTTATATATAAATATTTATATTTATTCTGGGCGAGCTTTTCTTTTATTGTTTCTTTATAAAGTCTTTGTGTAAAAGACACTGTGCTCTACTGCTCACTAACAAACATGTCTCCCATAAGTTTGCTAAATTCCAATCACAGCCACACTAAATTGTTTCTGGGTTATTCAGATGATGTTTTCTGGGGGAGCAGGGGCAGAGCTGATCAACACTTCCCACAGGAGAGCAGTGACTCTCTGTTTTGACTGACCTGCACTCCAGGGAAATAAAATAAAGTCACTCATTCACCTGGTGAGCGAGAGACATGGACCATTGTGTACACACCCTGCCATTTAGAAAGGCACTAAAAGTCCTCTTCAGTCTCCAGACACTTCACCCCTCCTGGTGTGCCTGTCCTATGAAGTGCGTTCTGCAGCTATACACACAGAATAAAGAGATTCTTACCTTCTGGTCCACTATAGAGCAGGCCATCTGCTTGACATAGGCCAGGTCAGCGGACTGGGGCAGTAGGACAGATTCCCGGGTCAAGCCAATCTGAATAATGAAGGAGACTCCGGCTGGGGACGGGGTAACAGGGGACATGAGCCCCCCGGGTCCCATAGCTGTCCCAAAGTCAGGAGGTGGGAATCCTGGAGGTGTGTTCCCTTGTGAGCCCATCATTGCCAATCCCAGGGAAGAAGATCCTGCTCCGGCACTGATGTACACCTGGCTCGAAGGGAGCGAGGTAGAGGACAGGCAGAGACTGGCGGGTGCGTTCATCATCTTCCTCTTCTGGTGTCACACCTGGATGGAGGGGGCTTGCACAGGGAGAGACAGATCAGGGGATGGAAGCTTGGGGGAGGCTCACAAATACAGCCAGGAGCTGGTCTAGGCTCCCCCTGTACTCAGAAAAGCCCCTTCCCTCCTCTTCTTTAGTCAGTCAGCTTGTAATGTCAGTCAGACAGTCGTACTTCTCCTTCTTATGGAAATCAAGAGCGGCAATGCAAAACGCCCACCCCCCCCTCCTCCTGTCCCTAACCAGCTGCCCCCTGCTCCAAGGCGCGAGGAAGTAAATCCTGATCCTGTCGGACAGAGAGTTAACTGTCCCGTTCATGCAGGGCTACAAAATGGCCTCCTTTGTGGTAGAGCAGGAAACTGTTGAGGAGTGAGCCTGGTTTAGCTTGCTTTACAAGTAGTGCTCTGTTTCAGTTTCTCACAGAAGTGTGTGTCTGCATGTTCGTGTGTGTGTGCCTCCCTCCCCTCTCTCTGCCTACTTCTGTTACTTTCTGAACTTTGTCAGACCTGAGGAGGAAGTCTCCTGACTGGCAGGCCCCTGGGCCAATTGCTAGGAGGTGCAGGAAAGCTCTGACGTCACTGCAAGCCGTCCTCTCCACACCCCCTCCTGCTTCAGCCTGTGTGTGCGCACACATGCGTCTCGTCTCTGTGAGCTAGGCTACTGTTTGTTTCTTTTTGCTTTCCTGTGTAGAACTTGTGCCTCTTTCCCTCTGCCTTGTCCTGCTAGTGGCTGGGATGAATCCTGTTTTCTATCTGTTGGCTCGTCCCAGACTGCAGCAGCTCTCTCAGAACACCCAGAGCTCCTCTCACTCAGGAACCAGCCATCCCACTGCTTTTCACTACAGGAAAGACATACCAGATCCCCTTGCTATCTCTCCACTTCCAAGAAAAAATGTTTCTGAAAAATAAGGAGGCAACGCAGAACAGCAAAGTAAATATGCATATTGTTAGAAATGTATTACTGTATTCCAAAACAAACTAAAATCACTTTCTTCCCCAGTCCTTATTTGGAAAGCTATTGTCACCTCTTTTACATAATGTGATCCTTTTCCTGACCAAGCAATGTGCTTTAAAATGATTTTGGCTCTGTCTCTTCTGACATAACTTAGCTGTTAGTTTTAACCAAAGAAAGTGAGCTGAGAATAACCTGCCTTCCCTTTAATGTCTAATCAAACAGAGTTAGGACTTTGGACAGCTTGGCCAATTCTTCAGAGTGACAGTAGTTTATGAGACAAAATTTAACATACTGTAAATTAAGATGTTACAGTGACTAGGGTACAACTGCTGCTTCACTTCAGAAGCTCTCTGAGTGAGATGCAACATCTATGCCTGGGACTGGAACCCTCTAAGCTCCTTCGGTTTAGTGCCTTGACCAGCCACCCTCTTCAGAGCTCTGGCTGAATGAGACCCAGAAGGGTAACTGCTGTCCTGAAGCGGGATGGAGCTCCGGTTCTACTGTAAAAAGCAAGAGCTGAGAAAGAAAAGATCGATGTGCCAGATCTTTTCTACATTAACCTAAACAATTCTAGAAAAAAAAAACATGCATTCCACTTTTCCATGGGCGGTTACAGCTCATAAAATCCGGTCTCAGGAACACTTGTGTTTCTAAAAACAGGAAGCATTCCACTTTGTTTGCAAGAAAATAGAATGTGCTTGGGCAATTACCATGGAAACATGGACATGAATGGCTAAGTTAATTGCATGACTTAAGGACATTGCTAAACTAACATTGCCCTTATCACCGCGCCAAAACAAATCCATCAAAAACGAGAATGTTCCACACTCTGGGAACATCGCAATCAAGTCTCATTATGGGTGCTGGATCTGTGGGTCACTGCGAGTTTCAACAACTCACACTCTCAGTGGCTTAATCATTAAAAATCTGGTGCTGCTGCTATTCTGTTCTCATGACTTTCAACACAGGCTAATAAAAGTTCCCTATTTTCCCTATTTTTTGTGTTTGAAGAGTACAACCACTTTAAACTTTCCTAACAGACTAATTAGCTATTTATTTTCCCTCAGAATACAGTAGGAAAGTTGTCTTTTGTTTTTAATAGATATAGATTTGGTCATTTATACCCAAAACAATGATTTACCTTTCTGAGTAATAAATATTGTATATTGAATTAAATTAATGCTTCTGCCATCCTTCTAGGGTTATAAGACACTAATCCATCCTAGTTAAATGTTCAAGTGAAATTCAGGAACTTATTTAGTATGGCTGCCAAGAGCCCACTACCCCCCTGCTACTGTAATCAAGGGGTACCTTGATTGCTCTGCTTTAAGTATTTTGGAATGTTACTCCGATTAATTAGCAATATGACAAAAAGGAGCTCCAAATGACCAGACCACCAGCATCCCAAGCTGAAATACAACACCCCAACTCTCTGTAGGATGTGGGCACCAGAGGTCCTCTCTGTGATCAGCAGACATCTGTGAAAAGAAACTTCATGTGCGCTTGCTGTCCAAGCTACACACAGAGCCTGGTCCTGCCGCAGGTCTGCCTTGCTGATTCTGTAACTCATTTTAACGGTCAGAGAGTTCTCCTTGGACAAAAATGTGCTGAATGCAAAACTGTTACATTGGTAGATGAGAAATTCAAGCATAATATCTAAATATGGGCTTCTACTGCTGCCAGTGGCAGTTTTGTGCCTGACATTAGACATTTCAAACATTCTTCAATTGACTAAAATATGCACTTCACTGCTGTCTAACCAAGGGAAAAATGAGAAACCGCTCTTCAAAGAAGGTCCTGTTTCTTTTGTTAGTAGTGTTTGACAATTTGCAAATAGTGAGAGGAGCTAAAATACTAATAAAATGAAAAGGATAGTTAATGTAGTGTCCTGCCTCATTAAAATGAGCAAGCAGTACTCTAAAGTTACAACTGTCACAAAACATTGTAAAGCACAAAAATGAAGTTGGACAAACAGATCCTTTGCTTGACCACTGTGAACCCACTGCAGACATTTCCACTGACTTGATGTTGCTGCCAGCAAAGAGATCCACTAAAGGAGCAGTAGATGGTGTTCCCACTTGCCCAGGCGTAAGTGTCACAGCGGACCACTGCAGCTTGGCTGTGTGAAGAGGTGAGAGCTCTCCATGAGATGTAGACTTCTGACATTTAAAGAGAATGAACCCCCTCATTTTCAGTACCTACTGTCAATCAAGCACCCTAATTACTTTGGAATTCAGACTATAACAAATAAACAAACCTTATTTTAAGCTATAAAATCAGGTCCAAATGTAATGTGGAACAGGACAAATAACAAGGAACAGGATAAATAAAAATATTTGAAACATTCCTGGACATTCCATCTATGAGCTCAATGCACCAGTTTTAACCACAAAGTGATTATTTCTAAAGAATTCACATCACTATAGAGTGACAAGTCAGCATCTACCAAAAGTGAGTAGCATTATTACTGAAAAGTATTCTCAATTTTATATTTTGCTGCCCAAAACAGGATGCTACTGTTGTATCCTTGAACAAAGTACTTCAGATTGTATCAAAAAAGCTATATAAATACAAATGTACACTTCTTTAGATACAACTAAGAACTAAAGAAACAAGATGGAGCGAACACCCACACCTCCTTTATAATTAATCTTATAATAGCAGCACTGCAACAGCCACCCAAAATTAAATTGTCTTGTATGTTTCACATGTATATCTGCACCAATGTCGCCATCTAGTGGTAGATTTGAGCTAAGAAATTATTTTTAGAAGAGTCCAAGTCACACATCTTAGCTTAAGGGTCAGGGAAAATCTTTCGTTTTTATTTTTATTATTGGGAGGGATCCAACAGAACAGAAAACTTTAAGAAGTAAAGCTGCTTTCCAAGCTAATAAGCATTGTGTCCATCACTAGAAAACAGCTTATGTCTGTTAAAGGTTTTAACCCAAAGCTCAACCTGGGAACACAGAATTTAGCACAAGACAGCCCCCTTCAGATGTCACAGTGCATCACAGACCCATGGGGACTATTAAGAGACGCTGACTGACCCAACCAGCAAGTTTTTGGAAAGAGAGAGGAAACTAGAGCACCCAGAGGAAACCCATGTGAGAACATGGAGAACATAGTTACTGTTACTCGGGACTTGGGACTGTTACTCGGCAGCAGAGGACTTTTAGCAACAGACTGCTCCAGCTACGGTGTTCAAGGGAACGTTTCTGCAGGTCTTTCCTCCCGGCGGCTGTCAGGGTGTATAACACTGCCCTAGACTAGGACTGTTAGCTCTTCATTTGCTCGTCTATGGACAGCATGTTGCTCCATTATACTTTTAGGACAATCAATCTGTAAAAACCTATGCACATTTTGCACATATTCTATTGTTTTTACAGTGACTATGATCATCATATTTTGCACACACCTATGTACTTATTTTTATTTATTTTGCACAATTGTTCATCTATTCTGATGTCTGTTTTTGCTTGTCTTGGGCTGGACTGCTGTAACACATCAATTTCCCTTCGGGATCAACAAAGTCTTATCTATCTATCTATACCAGGTCTAATTGGTAGGTAGGTGCCCTAATCCAGAATTGAACCCAGGCTTCAGGTACCCGGTTACCCCCCCATAGATGCTGAATTCACCCCCCGGTGAATTCAGGTAAAATGTCAATTTGGATAACTTGACACCAGGGACATCAAGAGGCAGACAGAAGAGGTATGTTTCTGTATAATGTGTTTTATCCCTCAGTGATGGCTGAAGTGGCAGCACAGTATAACACAAATTTAATTCAAACATGAGGTAAACAAATTTTGAGAATCAGTGGTCTGTGGTTGTGAGTATTAAATTAAAACACTCTGGTATTTTCTCCTTTTTCTTCAGGTGTAAGGACTTGGAATGAAATCCCAAAGAAAACAAGCTCAATATTTAATAGTAACAGGTGTTCTCAGCAAGCAGCACTTTGGATACATGTGTATTCCCAGCCCAGCCGATGAATGTGCCCCAAGGAAGATTGCACTGCATGGTGAAAGACATGTCGGGATATGAACTGTGAATAGAGAGAAATACACAGGAATGTTTATTTTACACCCTTAGCAACATGTCACGTATGAAGCCCATTGAACCCCATAATGAAACGCATTGTTCAGCAACTCCGCAAACTGCGGAAGCAGCTCTGCTGCTGTGTCACTGGTAAGCTCTCACATGAAAGTGACAGTGCGGAAGAGTGGAGCCCAAACCCAAAGCTTTGATATTGCTGCAATACCTCTGCAAATAAAATAATAAATGCATTAAATACTCTATATACAAAATCTTTTTATTTTCAGGATTTTGTGAAGCATTTTCTTCCTCAATAGCATACAATAAAAGACTCCCTCCAAAAAACACGATCAACTAGAATGAATTACAAAAAATAAATAAAAAACATGGTCTTTAGTCCCCTGCAATTACAGCAAATTGTGAAGAGTTACAGCTTAAAATGACGTACAAAATATCACACAGTGATAAATTGGTATTAAAAATAAACCACAAAGAAACTAGAGCCCTTTAACCTTGGCATTGACTTTTTTACTTTATTTCCATATCATTTACAAGCATTTCTAAGCCTACTAACAGATAGTACACTTCAGATACTACATAATTGATACATCTTAAAAAAACGTAGAAAAAGTTAATCAGACATTTACAAAATACATGGATGAATTTTGTTGGATTTATTTCGTCTGGAATGTGTGTTGTTCCTAGGTTGGGGATTCCCAGACATGTGGCTGTAGAAACCTCTTTTTTTTTCAAGCTCTTGCTGTCCACAGGGAATTATATGCTTTGAACTGCCATGAAAGCTAATTGAAATGTAATACAAATATTTATTATACAAACTGGCACAGCAGCTTAACAGCTCCAAAAATATATAAATGCAGATGAGACATTTGCAAGAAAAGCTCTATTAAAGGAAAGCGATAGTGTGATTCTATTTAAACTGTATTAGTAGTGTAGTCCATACCTTCAAGCCCCATCAGACCATTAAACAGGTGAAGATGAGAGCCTGCAGGCCGAAACCAGCTGATCCCAAGAAACTGATCTAAAGATCTATTTCATACCCAACAAATATGTTACTTATTTAAACATAAAAAAACAGCCAATTAGAAGAGATCTTTAGGCCCTTTCTTCCACCTGATTTTTTAAATAACAAAATGTTAGTATAGTGTGCTATATGAAAATGTCTGTGATAATCATTCAATTATTAAGTAATGAAATATATTATTACACCTCAGTCACCCTACTTGTTTCGTTATCCCATTTCATTTCTTTGTAAGACACAGTAACTGCTTCCTTGGGTGTAGATTTCAAAGATTTCTAATCTCATCTCTCCCGGGTCGTCTGCACTGAGAAGCTCTACAACACTGATTTAAATGAATCACTGCCAACTGTGTTTTCACTTTCCCTGGAGAAGCAGCGCCACAGCTGTCAGCCTGCTCCGGACTCAGGGCTGTGGGTGCAGGAGAGTGCAGGAGTGCATGATGGTCTGGGGCAGCACCGCCAGTACGAGACGACAGCCTCTACAAAGCGCCTCAGCCAACTGCCCAGGAACCAGAAAAGACGCAGGCCAGGGTATCAATCAGGAAGAGTGCAGCAGACACAAAGTGCACTGAAACAATACACCGATTGGTCAAATTAAACTATCCTCTCCTCACACCCAAAATGAAACACACCAATAATAAAGGCATGGTTGTGTTACAGCACTGTACAACATAAAACAAGAGGTGCAGCTGAGCCATACTGCCAGAAACTGTTCCAACAAAACCCAAGACTGAACAGTGTAAGAGTGCTTTTTGCTCAACAGTGTAAAGTGAAACAACTCATTGCTATTCGATGTCTCCCGGGCTGCCATTAGCACATTAATGAACACCTGCACATGCAAAAACCTCCTGCGCTCTCTGGTTCAGCAGCTGATGATGCGGGCTAGTTATTCATTGGAGACAGGTAATAGGGTGTGTGCCAAGGTGAGTTTTTATTGCCTGGCTATCTGCCTGGCAGATTTAATGTGTTCCACAGGAGCTGAGCTTCATAAAGTTTTTTCCACTGTTGTCTGAAAAGCAGGAAGAACAGTGATGTGCCAGGCGATAACAGGTTGTGGCCCCTGGCTTCAATGTCATGCCTTGGTAATAGCTCCAAGGTAAAAGGTCAGGGAAAGATCAAAATGAAAAAAATGTCCTTTAAAACTGCATGAAACCTGGCAAGAAAATGGCCAGCCCTTTCTTTTCTCTTTCTACTAGGAAGGCAAGTCTGGTACCAGCTTACTTAGTCTACTCCAGTTTCAGTAAGCAAGGGACTGATAGATCAACTGGATGCATGTTAGAATTTTTGTAACCACTTCAATGTAAACCAAAGCCCCATTGTGTTCCTTTGATGGTTGGGAGACCGGGAAGCAGGATTTAAAAGTTTTTCTGTAAGAGCTGAACCCTGTAGTGAAGACATTGCAGATCAGGTCTGCACTGTAACTGAACAATGATTAACAGATAACAACCGCTAATCATCTGAGTAGGGATGTGAAGAAAAATAAAATTTTGCCGATTTCAATGAAAAAACGTGTAGTCTCAGTATAAAAGTATAAGCGCAGCAGAACAGTGTGCGTTTGAAACTAGTTAAAATATGTTACTATTTGGATGCAGATGCATAAATCGATGAAGAACTAATTTTCAACTTTAATTTTGAAGATTGTTGTCTTAAAAGTAAATGTTGTAAATAAACAAGAGTGACGCATGACTTTTGGTAACAGTGACTGGATTCCCTGTCCATATGCTGATCACTCCGTTACACAGATGAGTCTTGGATGGTAACTGCTGTCCCACCCCTCCTGCGCCCTGGGATGAGCTTTAGCACCAAAAGTAATTGCATTATGTACAATATATATAGGACAGTATTACATAGACAAAACTGTACAATAACTGCACATTCTCAACTTTTCCCTTTTAAAAGACAGATCAAAACATTTATGCACAAACAAAAATTAAAACTGCCATCTCAGCAGCAGCTGAGCGCAACACCTCCACAGAAGCAGCAAGCAAGTGGTCCGATACAGACGATGACGACTCCCACTCCATTCCAGCTTGAGCCATTACAGGCCTCATGAGGTGCTGGATCCTGATAGCCTCCAGTGTAAACTGACTCTACACACTGCATCTTTTGTGCTCACTACCTCGTTATGAGCAATTACACGTCACAACAAGCACTTGCAGCTCAAACAGCCTGAAACGGATCAATCTACTACACAGTGGGAGTCTGACTTTCCTCCTGGGACTATCCCGATTCTTCTCCCACCTACATCATCAATACAACAAAACAAAAACAGAGCGACCATCTCAGGAGCTAAAAACAAGTTAACTTAATTATTTAAAATGCAGCAAAATCCAGTGTTTCATTCCCTGCGCTAAGGTTGAGGTTTTTAGACATTTTTAATTTAGTTTTGTCTTCTGTAAGTTTTGGCAACTTTCTACTGTTCAGTGTTTTCATTCTGGATTGCATGCTGATTGTAGTGTTGCTCATAGAGCGGGTTCCACTGCATGACCAGCCCAGCACTGTCACACACAAACTTGGACCACTTCGACCCTGCAGAAAAACACCTCCTGCAGCTGGGCTTGCTCCCCCTTTCCCACATTTCAATTGTGTAGCATGCAGAAATGATTCTTGAACAATTCTTAAACATCAGCCTTTTATATCAAAATGTTCTCCTGTTCTGCCATTTCACTGAAGCTTAAGCATTTGAAGCTACTGAATTAAACAATTTGTGTTTTTACTTGCTGAAAGAGTAACACCAATAAACAGCCTAAACACAGTATGCAAGAAAATGGCAGCCTTAGATTCCATATCATGTAGTTTTTACAAATAAAAAATAAGCAAAGATTTAATAGAAATTACATTCAATCAACAGTCCCCCCAACCATTTACATGAAAGGTGCTAGGATAATTCCTGCAATTCTAAAATGCGGAAAAGCAGCGAGATGTAAACTATTGCATAAAAATCATACTATATTAAATATAATTATATCTGAGGACTAAATGGAATTATTATTTTCAAATATTACAACCATCATACCTTCAGATAAAAAGTTTTAAGTTAATTACTACCTTCTCCACCCCCTCCAGAAAAAAATCCAAAAGGATATCATATCTGTCCTTACTTGTTTTCATGATTGATTTGCCAATATTGAACGTGTACTGTCTGGAAAGATTATTTATTGCTTTTGCTACTAACAGATGACAATTGAGCTCCTGGCAGCATGCATGTCACAACGATCTTTGTTCGATAGCGCATTGCTATCAGTTGTAAAACTCATCTATTGAGTTTTAAATGCCTCTTTAAACTTATTAAACTGTGCCACATTACAAACTGCTTGTAATAAACCAACATGGAAACAGATATTTAAATAATATTTTATACATTTTGCCTGGGATTTTTTGGTGAGGTATCACTAAGAAACCAATTTCCCTTAATAGTTCCCTTAATAGTTCAAATTAAGAGCAATCTGATGTCTCCAGTTTATTCAAACTCTGGTTCTGCCACACTGTTAGCCAGAGGTTCCCTTTTTGGACAGAGCAGAGAAGAAACTGGAGCCAAAGGCCTTTTGACCTCCACCTCCTTCAGACTGAAATGTTAGACCAATTCTGACAAAAAACAAAGACCTATAACAATAATGATGATAGTATTTTTCACCCAGAGTGAGCAATGACCAGCTGCAAGACTCCTCAATGAGAATTTCCCTTGAGTGTTATCCGAGTTTTTTGGGGAACTGCACAAAGCAGCTGAATAACCGAAGGCAAAGCCCTGCTTTCCTTTCTCTGTCTACGCCATCTATTGGTGCACTGCACTGTTACCAACAGTGGAGCCTGTTTTTAGACAAAGAGCACCAAGGTAATTCAGCAGTGAAAGATACTACACTGTACACAGTCAACAAATCAAGGTGAAGAAGTCCTGAGTGTTTGAGACTTATTTTATTCATGTTATAGCTTTAAAGGAACTATATCTGCGCTAGACTTCCTCTGCTTGAGCTGTGGAGTGTGTTTAACCTCAGTCACAACATAAAATGCTACAACGTCAATGCATGTTGCACTGTGCTTTGCAAGCACGCGAGTGGGAAGACAGTAGATAAGGTTTGGATGCCATGATGAAGCCACAGGAGGTGCTGCCTATACCCTGGGTGTCTGGGGGGTAGGGGGACATTGTGAGAGCTGGTCATTGTATGCTACCTCTGGAAGTACAGGGTCTCCAAAACCCCATGACTTTACAGATCCTGAGTTTTTGGACTTCATTTGCTTCTCCCCCTCTCCCCACCCACACACCCCATCCTCTGTAGTGTAAAGAGTCTTGCAGGCTTGAGCAGCTTGACGATGATGATGACAAAACACCCTATTCGATATGGCAAAGGCCTCACCTTGGGTGGTTGGCTGCAATGAAAGTACAATAGCTTTAACCGTTAAAAACTCACACTTCACTATTTATTCCGACTACTGTTATGTGTAGCTCTCGCGTCCCTGGGCTGGTTTGCCGCATGGCGCCCTGCTCCTGTGCAGCGCCTAAACGGTGCCTGCTGTGCCACCCTGGAGACCAGAGGGCAGCTGCCTGGAACAGGAAAAGAAAATAAGCATGTGAGGGGCGCAGGCGGGGCGTGTCAGCCACATGTGTGTGGGCCAAGTACGTGCGCATTCCTCACCGCAGTGAGGCGAGACATGGTGATGGAGGTCTGCTCAGACAAAGATCTTGGCCAGGGCATCAGCGCCGGCGCTGGCGATGAAGGGCTGGCTGGGGTGGAAGGCCACGTCGTGAATGGCCTCGTCGTGCTTCTTGCGGTGAGCCGTGATCTCCTGCACACATGTCCGGCTGTCCAGTGTCCACAGTCGCACTGAGCAATCGTGACCTCGAAAAACACACACGCAGCAGTGCTCAGAAACGGGTCTTGTTCCTCAATTTTCAAGCATGTAATCTTAGCAAATCTTTTTGCTTTCGAAAAAAAAACATTGCTTTTCCAAGATAAGGCTTAAAATGTTCAAAGACATTAACATAAGAAAGGTTACAATGAACACAGGCATACCAGCACATCTTGCTTGGTGGTTAAATAATTACTAATTGATCCAGAATCTCATACAGCCGTTGCTTGATAAAATACAGTGCATCAGCTTCAACAACATGGCAGGAGAGCATGTTCCATACTCCCACAACTATTTGTGCAAAGAAGTGCATCATGTTGTTTTTAAATTCTGTTCCTGTATCCTCTCATTTGTGTTTAACTTTTGATTCTGTTCCTAAACTGAGTGATTTCCTACTTAACAGGAAAGCTCAAGTTTCAGCCTGAAAGGATCTGTAGCTTGAATACACGAGACTGGTGTGCTCACACATGCAAATGCACTGCCCTACAGACTACTGGTTACTTACTGCCCGAGATGAGGTAAGTGCCTTTGGGGTCTGTAGCCAAGCAGGTCACTGCATCCAGGTGGGCAACCATGGAATGGATCACTTTACCTGCAAACACACAGCAGGGATATCATAACAGCCTCCTCAACCCAAGTTCACATTGTGCTCCATGGCAACAATGTTTTTTTTGTTTTTACAAAATTTGTGCAATATTTGTATAAATACCTCTTATGATCCCTATTAGAACAGTTAGGAAAAATTTATGACAGCAGTCTGTATAATAAGTTAATAAGAACGTTTCAATATTTGTAGTCTATTGAAATCTGCACAAATAGAAATTTGTTTTTCTGACAATATTTTGCAAACCCATCTGATATAATGCGCCACTAACAATGGACACAAGCCATGTGACCTTCCTACAGCTGTACCAGTAATGGGTTTCTGTTCTAATCTCTCATCAAGATGTCCCAAACCAATACTGCAAGCTGCATAAATGAAAAAAAAAAAGTGTTTTTAATTAATAGTGCTGTTCTGCAACGGATTTGTTTGAGAGGAGAGTTCATAGCTATCACTGGGATTCTAAACTGTGTAGCTGGATTTCTTGATTCTGGTCCACAAGTGCTGACTCTGGAATTAATGTCAAGTGAATAACAGCTCGCCGTTGTTTCCGCAGGCCGATTTAAAAAACACGGAGGTTAGGCCTTTTGTCGTTTTGTTAAACACAAATATTATTTGTATGAAGTAAACTTCGCTTGGTCAGCATTATTTTGATACTAAGATTTCCTTACTTATTCCAAACGTATGTCTCATTTTCCAAACTATTCCAGGATGGGAATTCAATAATTGTTATTTTACAGACTTTACAGACCTGTGCAAGCACCCTGGAAACCTTAATTAGTTGTTTTTTTTATTAGCCCTCTACAAACAGTTTTTAAACTACCTTTAAAAATGTATATGTAGCTTGATAGCTCCTGCTGTCTTACAGCTGAAAGCAAGTGTTGCGATAAAATATCTGGCTACAATAATGACGCCACCATATCTAGCAGGAAAGAAAACTAGAAGGTGGGGGGACCTCTGAGGACCCAGATGGGGGAATCCTAATCTGTGATATTATAATTGTTCTCATCCATATATCCCCTACAGGACACCCTTCTACATAATAATAAATGTTATTGTATATAGCGCCTTTAAAGGTGGCTTCTCAAGGATTTCTTTATCTTTCGATGTAACTGTATAGAAGCCTTTATTTGAATTAAAGCCAGTTGAGTACTGTTCAGTTAACGTCCCTGAACTGTGTTAGATTTAGGTGGCAATCACCCACTCAATATCAGTGTGACGTGACAGGCGTCAGTCAGCCGCGGTGTGGGCAGGGGCAGGGTGTCTCACCAGTCTTGTTGTCCAGGAACCGGATGCTGCGGTTCTCATGCGCAGTGATGGAGACGGCCAGTGAAGGGTGGCTGACAACCCGGTTAATTAGCCCGCAGCCTACATAGAGAGAGATCAGGACAGCATCCGTTAATCTCCCAGCACCTCATCCTGGTTCACACACACACACTCTGCACCCAACATCCCGCTCGGTCAGAAACTCATCACACATCACAATCCATGGTTGTGTTCCTTAACAAAGGAACAGCCAGATGAGATCCCTGGATCCATTAACTACTTCCATCCATACCAGCTGGATGGGTTTCATGGCCTCTCATTGGTAACCTGTTATCATCAGGAATCTGTTATCATCTGGCTCTCAGGAAGTAGTACCATTAGGAAGTTCTTTGGCTCTGGGGCCAAGGGAAAGGCCCTGTTACACAGGAGATTCCCAGTCTAGGTTTTGGCTCCAACACAGACTCAGAGTGGGTAACACCAGACAGTTACTGCACCTTCTTGTGTTCCATTATTTGATACAAGATTAAAATTATGGGCGTGTTGATATAGTCTCTGCAGCAGCAGCTACTTGCCTCTATATGTTCATGGGAAAGAGCGCATCAGTGGAAATGTTTCATTATTACGGGTGTGCAAGTGGACGAGGTCTCACTGACCGGAATGGGTAATAATATCAAGTCCCTCTCGCTCACCTTCCTTGCTCTTGGACTCCAGGGTCAGAATGCGCTGCTCAGTGCTGAGGTCGTAGATCAGGGTGTCACCTCCATTGTAAGACACCACAGTCTGTGAGGGGTCAGAGTTCACAAAGGCCACTGAGGTAGGGATCCCAAGATCTTGCAGAGACAAATGAGAGGAGTCGAGTCACTCATCTGAATACAAGAACACCTAAATTTAAAGGTCTAATAAAATCACAATGGAGAACATGATATTCAAAAATGGCCAACTACTACCATTAAAAATCTAAAATATTTCAATAAATAGCTCAGATACTAAGTAGCACTTTTTGTTTGTTGTTTTTCTTTTCATGAATTTCAATGCTGTAAAACATAATGAAGGTAGAACACCGGGAATGACCAGCAGCACACTGGTTAGATCAATTTCATCAGTAGCTGCAAGCTCTTCCACAAAGCATTTATACATCTGACACCCATATTGTTCATTAGTGGAGACTGACAAGTTTTTATGTAAAAGTTGCATTGCTATTCTGCTTCATTAGTACACAATCCTGCAAGCGAAGATGAATAAAACTGCTCAGGAAAGGGTATCCAACCAGTATTTTCCTGCAACATACTTGATGTGAGGTACAATTCAGGGGGTGTATCTACTGTAGTGTTACTACTTGCACATCATGTATTGATGCCCCTGGCATCTCCTACGCCAACAGTCCAGTCACCCCCTTTGCTTGCTCACCCTTGTCCGTGCTTAAGACGCTGACACAGGTGGCGCTCTGCGAGGGGTCCCAGATCCGGACAGTGCCATCGGCAGAGCAAGAGGCCAGGCAGTGCTGGGCGGGGGAATATGCCAGCCACCACACCGCGTCCGTGTGCCCAGCCAGCACGCTGCTCTCAATCCTGGGGTCTAAAACAGGCAAAAACATGACCTCTTGATACATTGGGTACAGCTCTCTTTTCCACACCAGTGTTGCCTAAAGCTTTTTAAGCACCTCTGGATACTAACAAACACAAACAAGCAAAAGATGCACACAAAATTCTCGGCTGTGGAAATTGAGATTATTTTCCGGAATGCAAGGAAAACAATACTTTAAGGCAATACTGACATAATACCGACAGCACAAAGTCTTAGGGTACCGTAGTTATCGTAGGGATCGACGTTAAGGTCAGGAATCTTCCAGCACCGCACAGTACCATCCAACCCTCCACTATAGCATGATTCGCCACTGTCATCCATGGCCATAGACAGGACTGCTCCGCTGCAAGCACACAAATGCACAAGCACGCAGCTGCTTATAGAGAAACAAGTCAGACTCCCATAGGAAAAGAGTCTCAGCCCCTTCATGGATTTTACTAAAGTCACTCTTTAAGAATGCAATGCACTGCATCAGGGTAAAAAACAATTCAGGACTGCAACAGATCTAAAGAGTTATGCTGACGGCACCTACAGGAGATTCATTCAGGATCTGGCCCGTCATCAGAGAGAAAAAAACAGGTTTTAGCCTTACCTGTGAGCTCTGAAGGTGTAGATGGGCTCAACATCCAGAGCTGTATTCCTGCAAGAGAGAGACATTTCAAGATGCCTATAAAAAATATTAATGTGAAATTTAAAATGTTAAAACATTTGTATGCTGTCATCCTTTGCTGTTTTAATGTATTAACGTCATGAATCCACATGTAGAAAATGCAGGGAATTCAAAGTTTTGTTTTAAACCACAGATGCAACAATTAGAAAAAGTTAGCTTCAACATTAGTGAAATAATCTCAAACAAATTTAAAAAATCATCCACTGTGTTTATCACAGCATCGCAGTGTCCTCACTAAGAAAGCTAACAGCCAGGTTAAAGTAATCATTGAACAAGTATCAATTAGGAAGAAATGTTTAAAAAAAGATAACACAGAGAAGTACTGAATCTGTAAAGGAAGAACACAGTCTCAGGGGATATTTATTCCATACATGCAGGAGCACAAAACAGAAACGAGGAGACAGGCAGCAGAAGGGACAGGGCCTCACTTCTTGGAGTGGATAGCCTTGTGGAGATTCCACAGCTTCAGGGTGCCATCCTCGGATGCACTCAGCAGCACGGCCTGGCTGGGGTGAAAGGTCAGGCCTCGGATGGCATCGAAGTGGCTGCGGAGGGTGAAGCGAGGGTTCCACGTCTTCTTGAACTCCTCACGGCTGTCCTGCAGCTGCAGAAAAAGTCACACGTGGATTTCAACGACGCTTCTGCTACTGTCATCACCACAAGAACATGACATGGTTCAATACATAAAAGTAAAACTAAGATTTTCAACATTTCAAAAGAGACTGCCTTACAAGGCACAAAAATAAGACCACATCCCATGCTTGCGAAGCTTTTCACGCCTACTCCGAACCTGAAGGAAGACTCACATCGATGGTGAGGTCATTGTCAACGGTGAGGTCAGCCAGCTCCCCGAGGTTCATGTCTCCGCCCCCCACGGTGTCCAGGATAAACACATCTGAGGAGAAGCCCAGGGCGCCCCCTAAAGCACAACAAAGGGGGCAGTTATTATTGAACCTGAGCCTCAAGCCAGACCTTGACTGTACCTCTTCTGCACTACATAGCTCAATGCCTTATGCCTACACAGTCTCCAGCAAAGACAGGAGGATGTGTGATTTTTATGCTTTTTATGAACCCACCATCAGAAAGCATTAGCTAGCAAGTTCAAAATCCCAATTAAACTGCACTGTGCTACTGAAAATGATCCTAAACATGGAGAAGAAAGCATATTCACGCTAAAAGTCAAGTAATGGAGGAAACTGAGCAATTTTAAGCAAGGCCCAAGTACATGAGCTAAGGCCAAAAATACAGGCTGAATTCATGCTGGGTGTGCATAATCCACAACAAACACTTCAAGCTAATTACAACATTAACGCTTCAGGTTCAGTTCATGTCACGTAGGGAAAATGTTCACCTTGCCAAAGAACAGTTTAAGACAGATTTAGGGTTTGAATGTTCAGATTATCTTTTTTATGTTCCATTGACACGTTTTTTAAACCCTTCATACCATCAAACAAGACATCCACTGCACAGCAGTCTGATCCATGTCATGTTTTATGAGCAGCAGATTCCTTCACAAAATACCGATAAAGTATGAAAGCTCTATATTTAAGGTATGAAAGCTCTATATTTAACATTGAATTCAGAAAACTGTTGTTTTTAATTAAAAGAGCAAGCCTATGCATGTTGATGCAACTACCTACTTGAACTGTTTAAAATCAACACAATAATCCAACAACCAGTATAAGTTTACATACAAGAGCTCGTTTTTCATAAGACCTGAAATGGATCATACTAGCTAAATAAAGACTCATGTGACAAGGGCAGCACATGTGACCTGGCTGACCTACCTTCACTGCCTCGGGACTGGCCTTGGACAGAGGAGGGGATGGCTGATTTGGGTGGGAGCCCATCAACATCACGCAAATCAGACATCATCCCTTGCAACTTGTTCTTCCGGTTTTCTGTTCCACAAACACAGATGCACACAAACAGAGCTGAATGTGCTGACATCTTATTAAACTTGAATGAGGGAATTCAAATCATACAACCACTGGGTTGGGCACACATTTGTGCACGAAGCTGATGCTGCAGACAGGCATTGGTGTGGACAAGAAGATCCTATACCTAACTCACGTCCATCTCCCGAGATCCTCGCCTCCCCAGCCCCCTCGCCCTCCTCGCCAGATCCCAGGAAGTCGAACTCTCCCAGGGCGTCTTCAGAGTCTTCTTCATCCTCTTCATCATCAGGATCCAGCTCAGCACCAACTGGCTCTGCTCCCAGCTGCACCGATAGACAGCATTATGTGAAGCAGGCGTGTTACTAAGGTCTGACCGGAGCGGTGATCCTGGTGCTTTAGAGAAGGAGAGGTCTGAAAGGAGTGTAGCACTGTGAGCTGTGCGAGAAGAATCTGGGCTCTATTGTCTGTTATACTGCTTAGATTTCCTGTGCACTTTGCATTGACATCACCATGGCAAGAACAGGTAAATTAATGTTGACAACTGCAAAGTTAATTTCTACACCTGCTTGAGTTATGAAATAGTGCATTTTTCTTATTGAAAGTCATCCTGGATGAAGACATTAGTAAAATAATAATGGCTTACCTTCACACGGGACTTTTTGTGCTTGCGGGGCCCATCGATGCAGTCTGTGGCCATGCCCTGGAAATCATCCTCTTCGTCACTGTCATCTTCCTCCTCTTCCTCACAGCCATGGAGAAAAGGTAGCTTTTCC